AATCACTTCCTTTATATCCTATCGTATAAGTGAAATAACTCAGGTGGTTTTTTTATGGTTTAGCCTTCACACAGCATAATTAGAGATCCATCTAGGTTTTGCTGCACGTATAGAAATGGTTTCCTTTTGTTGCTGAGTAATACTCAATTGTATAAATATATTTTAATTTAGTTTATCCATTCAGTTGTTGAGGGACATTTGGATTGTTTCCACTGTTAATGATTACAAACTAAACTGCTATGAATATTCATGTACAAGTTTTTGTGTGGATATATGACTTCATTTCTCTTGGGTAAAAACCTAAGAGTAAAATGCTGAGTAATATGACAGGTGTGTGTCTAAGGTTTTAAGAAACTGTTGAACTTCCTAGAGTTAATGTTATAATTTTACCTGCCAAATAGCAGTATATTATAATTCCAGTCACTCCACCTTATCACCAACACTTGGCTTGGTCAATCTTTTCCATTTTAGCCTTTTTAGAGGGTTTATATTGTTATCTCATTTCAGGCTTTGTCGTGTATGACTCAGCCCACTTTCATGCATTCTGGTTTCAGATCTTTCATTCAAAGCAAGTTAATTTATTCTGTGTTATATGCACGATTAACACATCATCACTTTCATATTTGTTCAAATATGAGCTGTCAACTTGAAATACACTCTGCTCTCCATTCTGCATATTCTTTAAGAAATATACTTGAACTTGCTTTGCTTAGTCTCCTCTATCAGTCTAAAAAAAGAGCATGCATGGCCGGGCGCGGTGTCTCACGCCTGTAATCCCAGCACTTTGGGAGGCCGAGGCGGGAGGATCACGAGGTCAGGAGATCGAGATCATCCTGCCCAAAATGGTGAAAACTCGTCTCTACTAAAAGTACAAAAACTTAGCCGGGCGTGGTGGTGCGTGCCTGTTGTCCCAGCTACTCGGGAGGCTGAGGCAGAGAATCGCTTGAAACCAGAAAACGGAAGTTGCAGTGAGGCGGATTGCGCCACTGCACTCCAGCCTGGAGATAGAGCAAGACTCTGTCTCCAGGCTGGAGAAAAAAAAAAAAAGAGCATGCACTTTCAAAAAATATAAAGTTATAAATTTATATGCACATAAATATATAAATTATATGCCTCAATATAAATTTTTGAAATATAACAAACATTTTAAGTGCTTTGTTAATCATCTTGACAACACAACATCTAACATCTAAAGGGACAAGGAACAGTCACAGTGAGTTTCTGTGTTCACACTAGTGAATGTAAAGCTTATTTCAACTGTCTTCATGATACTTTCTAGATTTTTTGGTTTTGTCAAGTTTTGATCGGTTGTGATTACATTGACAGCATTTCTTCCTCTTAATGCCTCTGACAAAAAATGTGTATACATGTGTCTTTGCAGGGAGGGTGAGAGGGATGGTCAACTCTGCCATTTTCTTGTTTTCTGGACTTGGTTTTATTATAGTGATCTCCACCCAGTATTTTTGTGTAGGATGCTTTTAATGTTAACGATTCAAATGTGAACGTTATTTTAGATAAAAATAGATCATACAAATAAGGCATCTATTCATCTGAGCACAGGTAAACCAAAATACATCACAAAGCAGGGAAAGCAAATTGGAACGTCCCTTCTTTTATCTTGCACCTTTACCTTGCAGGGACAACCAAACAAGACCCTACATGAGGACCAGGTGAGGGCGCCAGAGTCCACCCTACGTTAAACACTGCCTGGTAAAGCTTAGGGTACTATTTTTACGGCTCAGAATGCGCTCTATCCACATGAAGGTGAGCTGAGAATATGTCTTCTGCTGTTGTTGGATGAAGTCATCTATATACGTCAATTATATCCAAGTGGATTGATGGTGCTGTTGAGTTCAAGTATGTCCTTACTGATTTTCTGCTGCTGAATCTGCCCATTTCTGATAAAGAAACTCCAGCACCTTTATCTTTTCTGATATTAGAAAGATATAATAGAACTTGACAAAACCAAAAAATCTAGATGTAGAATTATGATTAGTAAATTTATCTATTGCTCCTTGAAATTCTATCGGTTTTGCCTCACATATTTTGTTTCTTTGTCAGGTGCAAACATATTAGATCTTGTCAGGTTTTCTTGGATAATTGGCCCCTTTATCATTATATGATGCCCCTCTTTATCCCTAATAATTTTCCTTGATCTGAAGTCTGCTGTGCTTGAAATAAACACAGCTATGCCTGCTTTCTGTGACTAGTATTAGCATCATATATCTTTGTCTACCCATTTACTTTAAATATATATTGGCTATATTTAAAATGGGCTTATTGTATACAATATACAGTTGGGTCTTGTTTCTTAATTCACTCTGTTGATCTGTTTCAATTGGTGCATTTAGATCATTGACACTCAAAATGATTGCTGATATGGTTGGTTTGTTACTGATTTCTATTTGTTGACTTTGTTCTCTTGTTCTCTGTTCCTATTTTTTTGTCTTTCATTCTTTTCCTGTCCTCTATTTATTTATTTTTGTTTTGTTTGTTTGTTTGTTTCTTTCTTTTTTTTTGAGATAGAGTCTCCCTCTGTTGCCGAGGCTGGAGTGCAATGGTGTGATCTTGGCTTACTACCACCTCTGCCTCCCAGGTTCAAGTGATTCTCCTGTCTCAACCTCCTGAGTAGCTGGGATTAGAGGCACCTGCCATCATGCCTGGCTAATTTTTGTATTTTTGTGGAGACAGGATTTCACTACATTGGTCCGGCTGGTCTTGAACTCCTGACCTCAGGTGATCCTCCCACTTCAGCCTTCCAAAGTGCTGGGGATTATGGGCGTGAGCCACCATACCTGACCCTCTTATTATTTTAACTGAGCATTTTATATGATACAATTTTCTCTTCCTTAGCAGCATATAAATTATACTTTTTTCCCACTTTTTCCATTGGTTGTCTCACATTTGCATATCTATTTGCAGCTAATCTAAATCCTCTTTCCAATAGCCTATGCCACTTCATGAGTAGTGTAACTTATAATCACAAAACTATCCTAATTCCTCTGCTATTTTTATACAGAAATAAATATCCCCATGAACTGTCCTTTGCGACCTGATTCTGGATTCACTCTTTAAGCGCTAGTAAAGCCATACACCTTTCCCTCACCCTTTTCTGATCATAGGAGCTGAGATTTCTCTCTTTTCAGTGATCCTGCGGTCTTGCATGATTTCTTAGTCATCGCTTCTCAGACATGCATGGGGTTTTCAGATTACAAAACACTGTCACATGCACTCCCCACCTGATTTTCACAATACCCCTCTCAGATATCAGGCTGTCAGTTATGCTCATTTTATACACATGGACACTGAAGGTCAGTCATGTGACTTAACTTGCTGGATCCAAGATCCCAGTTGGTAAGTAAGAGAGTCTGGAAAAACTAGAACGTTGGCTTCCTAATAAGTAGATTTCATAAAACTCCGCCACCTATTTCTATATGTATACACATTGGGTGCATAGCTCTTTCTCTTACACTTCTTTTAAATTCCAAAGGACGTGCACAATGGAAGCATCCATCAGCATTTTAAAATTTAAATTACTTCAGCAACAAAATTTATAGGTAGTTTAGGCTGTTTCACATCTGGAGGTTATTGTGATAGCCTCAGTAAATTTTTTTGTTTGCAATTAACAGTGTCTGGGATTGTTTATAATGGTAACTTAATCATCATAAGCAAACTGAAACAAAATTCTAGTAAGAAGAGGGCCAGTACTCACAAGGATGATACAAATTCCTAAGCATCGACAACCGATTGCTTAACTTACTGGGCCTGCTTCTCTCCTAAAAATAAAATTATAAGCTTTATCATATCTCTTCACCGGACAGGGTGCTTTCTGGTGTCTAAGGAGATCAAATATTAATAACAACTCTTGTGGGAAATTTGGTTTTCTTTTTTCCTTACTCTTTTAGAGAAGAAGGAACACTCAAATAATAAATGCAAAACGTCTAATGGCAGAGAAGGATGAACGCTGAGTTGTCAGGAAGAGGCTAGACAAAAACAGACAATACTGTCCTTTCAAATGACATGTTTCCAGTGAGTCTAGGCAACCAAGAAGACTTCTGGGGAGCCCCCAAAATAACAATAGAAGGGTTCAAATTGAAGATGTTTACCTACTTGAAGTTAAGAAAAAGGAAGAGATGTGGTTTCAGAATTTCCACAGTAGTTATAATAGGCTTTATTTTGTACTAAACACATCACTAAAAATGTAAACTGTAAACATATCTATTGTTCCCTTCTAACTGCAGCTGTTACATTGTGTGTTCCGGGGCTTCCCCTGCTCTTCTAACTCCCAAGTGCCGGGCATGGCTCTGTCTTAAAGTAGGCTGTCAGTCAGGTGCATGGTGATGTTGGCGGTGGTGGCTTGGGGTGAGTGATGAGGACAGTCCCATGCAGGCCATTTTTCAGGTAACACCTGTATCCCTAGGACTCCTTGTCTGAACACCATTGGAAGCAAAGTGAAGAGGTAATGGTCGGAGGATAGAAATGGACTCGGGCAAGGCCCTGAGTTAGACACTCGACAGACTTTGTCATTGAGGCAGCAACTCCGCAATGTAGAGATATCAGTGTCCCCATTTTACAGAAGAGCAAACAGGCTTAGGTGTGCTAACTTGCCGCACAGTTAAGTTTCTAGGACCAGAAGTCAGGTTTGTCGGATCCCCACGTCCCCTTTCGCTAGGATCAATGCCATACTCGGCTATAACCAGCCTAGGCTGTGAATACGCAAAGGCAAGGACCTCCGTGCCGCACCCGCTCAGCATCTGCGCCTTCCTCTGCGCTGGGCACGACTTAAGTCCCTGCACATGGGAACTCCACGCTTACCCAGAAGCAGCGAGAGTCTCCAGTGCGCAGAAGGATCCCAGACCCGCCGCCCTGCCTGGTGGCGCGCTCAGCCCACCCATCGCGCTGCCTTCGGACCCGGGCGCGCAGCGCAGAACGCGAGTTCCCTGTGGCGCCCCGGGTGCCTGGTCCGCCCGGGTGCCTCCCCACGCCCGCCCGCGTCTCACCCCAGGCCACCGGCAGCGCGAGCAGCACCACAACCGCCAGCGGGGTTCCTCTGCAGCAGAAGGGGAGACCGGGCGCCGGCGGCTCCACAGGCTCTGGGCTTCTCGGAGAAGAGGCCCCCATCCTCTCCAAGCACATCTAGAAAGCAGATTTGATCTCGAAGAAAATTGAAATAGGAGAAGCTCAGCGAAAATAGGAGTGACCAATCGCTGTGCTCCGCGCCCAGAATATGGGGAGGACTGCGGGGTTCCGGGACAAAATGCTTTTGACCACAGCTTCCCCTTAATGGGCGAGGTCATGTTTACTCCCATTTGCATTGTTTCTAGCGAGTTTCGCTCGCAGAGCCCACCTTGCGGACCCAGGTGCGGCAGCAGAGCTGGACACTGCTTGGGCTTCCAACGGATCCCACGTGCGAGTCCCTGCGCTTCCAGACAAAGGCTGTGGATGACGGCAGCTGTTACATCGTGTAACAGCTCCAAACACCCTGCTTGACGTTTCCTCTTTGCAAGAATGTGTGTGGGACGGTCAGCTAATGAAATGCCTGCTCTCTCTCTGTGTCGAAGAAATTGCAGGCGATGTGTACAGTGTACAGGGAATGTGAAGAACTCATTTCCTTATCTTGAATTGAGAGGTTACGCCATTGTAAGATTTTTTAGAGGGGAATGACAATCACATTTTAAACATATAAATCTGTGTATACTATGGAGACTAGATTAGGGCAATAATGGACAGGGGAGGCTAGTCAGGGGACTTTTGCTGACATCCAAAAAGAGGTTTGATGGCGGCCCTGACTGAATTGCTCAAGTGGACAATTAACAAAGATATTGGAGACGGAATGAATAGTCGCTCATGTGCTGGATTTTGGTTTCTTCCTTTCTTAAGGTTGGTGGTGAGAAGAAAGCAATCAAGAGTTAGCCCCTGGATTAGAAATGAATGGTGGTGCTGCTTATTGTAATAAGAAATATGGATGGAGGAGTGACAGATTTAGGGTAGAGGTTAAAATGAAGGATGCCTTTATTCCTCCTGTCTCTCTGTGTTCTGTTCCCTTTAACTAATCTCTCTCCATCTCCCATTGTCCCTCCCTTCCCCAGCCTCTAGTAGCCAGTATTCTACTCTCGACTTCCCTAAGATGACCTTTTTTGGATTCCACATATGATGGCTATCATACAAGATTTGCCTTTCTGTGCACATTGGTTTCCATTAGGCTTTTTCCCAAGATTCTATTGGAAGAAATGTCTACTTTGAATATCACTTATCACACTTTTTAATGCAACTAGTGCCATTCTCTTAGGGATTTGCTGTCATCCTTTCAAGTTATTGTCAACAGATTAATGGGAGAAGAAGCCAGATTGTAGTAGGCTGAGGAAAAGAGAATAAGAGAAGGCTCAGTTGCCTAGTTTTACATCACATGCTATCAGAAGGTGTCAATCCTTACCAATTCTGCTGGTATCCATCTTCTAGTATCTACTTTCTCCCCTTATTCCTTGAAGGTTTTAGCTCCCAGCTCATGGCCACCTTCTCCACTATTACTCCTGCCACAGTTCCTGGTCATTTCAATATTCACAGCAATAGTATTTTCAAATCCCTGGCCTTCCAGTGCCTTGACCTCTTCTCTGTCTATGGTCTTGTCCTCCACTCTCCTCTGACACTAATGCTCATGTGTATGCTCTGAAACTTGTCACCTTCACTGCGACCCTCGATGATTTCAATGATCCCACTCTCTAACCACCAATCCTACTCTTGTCTTTTACCCCAGTGCCATTCAACTGAATCCAGCAATCTTTGTCTTTCCCAGTGTCTGCAGACCATTGATCCTAATGCTCTCTCTCCCAGCCTTTCATCCCCTTTGTGTCTTCAATTTCATCCCTGCCAGGTTAAATTCCATACTCTGTCATTATAATCACCATCTTACATCCACGGTCAGCTCCCTCACCCCTCTCTTGCTTTATTACAGGCATTAGACAAAACAATCCTGGTAAGAATAAATTCTCCATTATTTTGCTCTCTTACCCATGAAACTGAATGTGGCTGGAGAAGACACATATCCACCATGACTAGCCTTACTTTAGTGACAAATAATTTCAAATTGACCATTATACTTCTGCCTGATATTCCCACTATTGTCTAATCCCATTTTTTCTCCCATTCTCCTAAATGACTATTGCATATTTTTATGTTGACATCTATTTCTGACACCCTCTCCAACATTCTTAATCTCTGTGAATAGCTTTGCTTCTTTTTTTAATTGAGAAAATAGAAACAATCAAAGAGATCTACAATTTTCTACCATCACTCCACCCAAATTCTTGTATGTGGCCTATGTAAGCTCCTTCTCTCCTGTTAGTATATACTGTTTAAAGTCCTGTCTAAGGGTGATCTCTCCACTGTGTCCTAGATTCAGTTTGCTCTCACTCACTCAAGGAAACCAGCAATTCTCACTTTCTCCAGGATTATCATACCCCTCTTTCTGCTGGATTTTACCATCAGCATGCAAACAAATTATTTCTCCAAGTACAGCAGGTATATTTTTCTCTTCAGTTTTCCCCTCCCATTTAATACTCCTTTTGCTTAGAATGCTCTTTGCGTAGGTATCTCTCTGCATGGGTACTACCTCTTCTCCTTGATTCTTTGGCTCAAATGAGACCTTCTTGAAGGAGCCTTCCTTGACCACTATTTAAAATTGCAATTACTTCAGAACTTCCTTGCCTTTTTGCCTATTTTATATAGATGAAAAATTATACTTGTCATCTTTTCATTTTATTACCACCTGAAAATCTGCTTATTGCGTGTTTCTCCCACTAGAATAAAAGCTGCTTGAGGACATGTCAGTTCATCACTGCCAAATCTCATGACCTAAATCGATGCTTAGCACAGAGAAGGGGTTCCATAATTACTTCTTGAATGAGTGACTACAATGGTTGAGACAGCTAAGGTCAACCAGTCTTTCAGAAAATTTGGTGGTGGAGAGATAGTTTAAAAGAGAAACATAGGTGGTTTTGGGGAAGATTTGTTTTTAGATGGAGGGGAAGGTGGATATCTGTTGCTCTAAATGGGTCCATTCTTCTGGGATTTGCCCCTAGATTTTTCCATTGGGAAATTCCCTCTTTCCTATAGTTCAATGTGATTCAGGAAGGCTATGGTTTCTCAACCTCAATATTATTGACATCCTGGACAAGATAATTCTTTGTTCTGGAGGTCTGTCTTGTGCCTTGGGGGATGTTTAGTGGTAACCCTGGCCCCTACCCACTAGAGGCCAGTAGCACTTCCCTTCTCCAGTTGTAGTAACCAAAAATGTCTCTAGACACTGCCAAATGTCATTGGGAGGGCAAAATCATCCCACCTGAGAACCACTGAGGTAGTCCAACCCTACCCCCGTCTCCAAGGCTGGGAGGCAACTCAGGCCTTGCCCTCTGTTTATTTCACTGTCCTACTCCTAGTTATTAGTTCCTTTGGGTACATGTGACCCTATTTGGACAATGAGAGCTACTGAAGGGACTTTTGAATGACTTATTGGACAAGAGACACTCTTTGCACTGGAATTCTAAGCTGATGGGATATGCACTTGGTATTGTCAGCAAATATTTTGCCAGTTTTCAGGGAGTTTCTTCCAGAGAATGAACCCAGCAAGGCAAAGCAGCAGAAGAAGATATTCCTGAAGGCCTGCTTTGACTATTCCTGTTTCGACAAAAGCCTTTTCTGTCATGTGATATAGTAAAATTCATTTTGGTTTAAGCCAGTGTGAGATGGATTTCTATCATATGCAGCTCAGCAGGTCTTGGCTTCAGGATGTTTGTAGGTGGAACAAAGGAGCCAGGGATGAGAGAAGGTCTAAATGAAGGGACGGTTGCCACGGAAGAGACAGAAAGGGATGAGAAGAGAAAGATATAGGCTGTGACGTGTGGAAGATGGAAATGAAGGTAAGGGTGAGTGGATGTAGATATAATGGAAGGCGTGGGGGAGAGGAAGTTGAGAGAATTACCCCCGGATGTTTTCATCATCCCCTAATGGAAGAAGGGATGACTGTAGAATAGATGGTTTGAGGTGAGTGAACAGACAATGTGGGGAAATGAAAGTGTTGCTGACTGTACATGAATAAAAGATGTTGGAGAGCATCCCACTTCTAAATATGGATCCAAAAGAATTGAAAACAATGTCTGAAAAGGTGTCTGCACACCCACGCTCATACTAGCACTATTCACAATAGTAAAGAGGTGGAAACAAGCTGATACGGTTTGGATCTGTCCCCTCACCAAATCTCATGATGAATTGTAATCTTCAGCAGTGGAGAGGGGCCAGTGGGAGATAATTGGATCATAAAGGTGGATTTCTCACCAAAGGTTTAGCTTGGTACTGTATAGGGAGCAAGTTCTCACCGAATCTAGTAGTTTAAAAGTGTGTAGCACCTGCCCCCTCTCTCTCTTCCTCCTGCTCCCACTGTATGAGATGCCTTGCTCCCCCTTTGCTTTCCTCCATGGTTGTGAGTTTCCAAAGGCCTCCCCAGAAGGTGGGCAGAAGTCAGCATCATGCTTCCTGTACAGATCCTGGAACCATAAGCCAATTAAAACTCTTTATAAATTGCCCAGCCTCAGGTATTCCTTTACAGCAATGTGGGAAGAAACTAATACAGAACATTGGTACCCAGGAGTGAGTCATTGCTTTAAAGATACCTGAAAATGTGGCAGCAACTTTGGAATTGGGTAACAGGCAAAGGTTGAAAAAATATGGAGGGCTCAGAAGAACGCTGTGTTCCCATCCAAATCTCACGTCGAATTGTAATCCCTAGTTTTTGGAGGTGGAAACTGGTGGGAGGTGATTGGATCACAGGGGTGGATCCTTCATGAATGGTTTAGCACCATCACCTTGGTGCTGTTCTAGTGTGTGGCACCTCCCCTCTCCCTCCCTTGCTCCTGCTTCTGCCATCTAAAACATGCCTGGCTTCCCGCTTCACTTTCTGCCATAATTGTCAGTTTCCTGGGGGCCTCCCCAGAAGCTGGGCAGATGCTAATATCATGTTTCTTGTACAGCCTGTGGAATCATGAGCCAATTAAAACTTTTTTTTTAAATAAATTACTCAGTCTCAGGTATTTCTATATTTCAATGTAAGAATAAACGAATACCTAACCCAATGTCTATTGACAGAAAAATGTATAAACAAAATGTATAAACAAAATTGCATGTATGCACAATGAACTATTAACCCTAAAAAAAAAAAAAGAAATTCTGACATATGCCACAATGTGAATGAA